ACAACTCTCTGCCTTATTGATGCAAAACAGAACAAAAATCCTAAGAGTCAGGTTTAGGCAAAATCAATATCCCTATCAGTTCCATATCAATAGTTTATGTGGAGAAAAACAAAGTCTTTATTCAGCTTTGGGTACCACATCATTATTTGTTCCCATACTGTACTGAACTCTGATCTGGTTTAATTATGGCATGTGCAATAAGCTACTGTTGTCGTAACTTTTGTCATTTTCTTCCTTGATCCAAAATTAATTCAGTGTTTCTTAAAATGTCATATGAAGAAAGAGTTCTGTGATCATTGTCATATATGTTTTCCTCTTGTTTTTGGTAGCAGAAAACGGCTAGAAAATCTGGAGAAAACAACCCTGGATTTGAGGATATGGAGATGGATGCAAAATCACAAGTACTGTACCATGTACAATCATTTTAAAAAGAGAAAGTGCAAACAATATTGCCCAGGCGTTTAGGACATTACCATACCTGAGTAAATCCATTTGTACACTGTATGTATGTATTTCTTTGTAAATGAGCACCTTTGGCTTCAAAACTCAGCAAAGTAGAGATTAAATGTTCAATAACCATGCAACAAAAGTGGTAAGTCTTTGCTGAGCTTCCTATGTCAATATGGATTTACAAGTGATACTTTCTCCAGCCAAAGTTTTCAAAGATCTGAGATTTCAGATCAGACCTGGAGTTGAGAGGGATGTCATTAGGTAGAGACTAAAGAGATACCGCTGTCCCGTTCAGTTCATAGAGATGCACCTGATGAAATCATACTTATGTTTACCATTAAGGCAACTTTATACTTACAGTCCTAATATTCAACTGATCTAGACAATCCCTTCCCACAAATGGATTTCTCACTGATTTGTATGGACCTAATTTTCATTATTCTAAGCAGTGCCTGATCATATACAGAATTATTTGTGCAGTTAGCTATGTAATAATTGTAGCTATATAATATATTCACAATAGGTTTTTGACATTTGACAGATGCATTTTGACCAAAAATGCAGTTCTGATATATTGTACCTCTGTGCTCACACAGCTATGCACATACACCCTATGTGCACAAACACTCACACACACATGCAAACAGAGAGACGTTATTACTCTCAAGTACTAAATAGTAGCGAGATCCTTTTTACTAGGTTAGTAAGTTGTCATGATAGTACTTTCAACATGATACAACCACTACTAAGATAAATACAAGAAGGAGATATCACTGCTTTAGACGTCTTGTTTCTTTCAACAAGTTTGTTCATATTTTTTTCCTAAGGAAATTTGCATACCCCCCTATCTCAGTGATGGTGAATCTTTTTGGTACAGAGTGCCCAAACTGGAAGGCGTGTGCATGTGCATTCATGCACGCATGCACCAGGGCGCTGGAAACACAATGACCAAGTGGCCGGCACATATGCGCACCTCGGAAACCCGATGACCAGCTGGCTGAACTGGGGAGATGGCGTGCATGCCCACAGAGAGGGCTCTACATTCTACCTCTGGCATGTTAGGTTCACCATCACAGTTCTATGCCTTTGTTCATTGTCTCCAAAAACTAGCATCTGACATTCCAAATATTTTTCTGGGTTCTAAGTTAAAGTGTGAGAAGCCAACACATGATTATGATCTGTCCACAGGAAGGGATTTCCTGTTTCCAGCAGAACTCAGTCCATACCTCTCACACTCCAGACCTACTCAAAGGCAGCCCCTGGAGAATCCCTCCAAGTAATCAACTCTGCTTCTCCTTTTTTGCAGGAACCAGAGGAAGGCACAGCAGGTACAGAGAGCAATGGGACTGTGATGGCTTGCAATCCCCCAAGTAACCATCAGCCACAGTCTTGTGGCAACCCCAGTTTAAATAATCTGGGGCTGGAAAAACCTTCTATCCACACAATCATTCTGGACTTCAGTTCTGTCACCTTTGTGGACACTGTCTCTGTAAAGACCTTAAAAAATGTAAGGACAAGGGAAGGTTTCAGATGTATGGCTGTGCCACAGGTGGTATTCAGCAGGTTCTGATCAGTTCTAGAGAACCAGTAGAAGAAATTTTGAGTAGTTCGGAGAACCGGTAAATACCATCTCTGACTGGCCCCGCCCCCATCTATTCTCTGCCTCCCGAGTCCCAGCTGCTTCGCTAAACTTAAAAGGATTGAAAGAACAAATGAAGGGGGGAGAATATGACTTTGTTGAAATAACTTTCTCAGAAATTATTTTCAACTGTGCATCTTCCCATTGCGATGGACTTTAGCTCCCTCTAGCGTGCTCTCAGGGATAATGGAAGTCCAACTGCAAAACATCTGGATCATGGTACCTTAAAGGAGAACTCCATTAGCAGTTTCCTTACCTAGCCTAAATTGGCTAACTGGGCAAACGCACATATTTATTCTGGTATTTCAACTCTGCTGTTTCTGCTTTGTTGCCTTCTGCAGATATTTAAAGATTTCCAGGAGATTGAAGTGGAGGTGTTACTTGCTGGTTGCCATGGTAAGAAAGACCCGGGAAGTTTTAACCTTGGGAGTGGGTGTACCTTGAATCAATTGTTCCTCTTTTGGCTTCAGGCCCTTGCTCTTGTGTGTCAGTCCAGGTCTGACTCATGGGCATTTATGAGTTTCGGCATTACAGGTAATCCTTGACTTATGAATGGTCATTCAGCGACTGAAGTTACCATGCACACCCCTCCCCCAAAGCTACTTACGACCTGTTTTCAGAGTTCCTATAACAGCTCCTTCCCAGTCGTCATATGGTCACATTTTGGGTACTCAGCAACCAGCCTGCACTCATGGCCTTTTGCAGTACCCCACAATCACATGGCCATGATTTATGATGGTTTTGCCAGTGTTGGCTTCCAGTTTCCAGCAAAAATTCCCCAATGGCATATGGTGGGTTCACTTAGGAACTGTGACATTAACTTAACAACCTCCACATTTGCTTAATGGCTGCCACAAATAAGGTTGTAAAATTGGGTCCAGTCATTTGGTGATCTACTTTACAACTATCAAGACTTGTGACCATAATTGTCCAGCTCAATTACAGTCTTAAATCAAAGACTACCTGTATGAGTTTCAGCAAAAGGCCACGCTTGCAGAGGCAGAGCTTCAAATACTGTGAAGAGACCAAAACATTATTTGTTGCCTTGAAGTATTAATCTATACCTTTGCAGCCCAGATTCAATCAGACTAAAAGCTAGGATATACATATATCATAGTTTGGTATGATATAAGAGTTCCATGAGGATAGTCTGGGAAAATTCATCCTTTTTTCCCTAAATTTAACTCAACCCCTGTGGAAATTTCTGCTAAAGCAAAAGAATAAATGAGTCTCCCCATAGCATGCCACCTACCAGGCCCATAGCATTGCCTCTCCCAGCTTGTGACCTTCAGTTGTATTGTGCAACACTAGCTGGAAATAGAAGAATGGTAGTTCAATGCACCTGGATTGGGGGAGGCATGTAGCATGTAATGACAACTGGAAGTAATTTTGATCAAGGAAAGAGAGTACAAAGCTAAGGGAGTGTAAGAGTTCCCAGTCTTGAAGAGACTTTCTAGTAAGAAAAACAAGCAGGAAACTCGCAAAATAAATGTTCTCGCCTGCCCTTATTAAAATGGGCAGATAGCTTTCCCCAGTCTTGCTTTAATCCGGATTTATTAAACTGAATGAGATGTGACACTGATTGGATTCATCACTAGTGTTCCCACCACAAATAGCAGATGGGTTCCCGTATGGTCTTGTCAGGCAATTTACTGCTCTTCTCTCTGCAGGCGTTGTCATTACCCAGCTGGAAAGAGGCAATTTTTTCAATGAAACCATAACCAAGAACCACCTTTTTGCATCAATACATGATGCAATTACCTATATCGCCAGGAACCGAGAACAGAGCACGCCACACATTGACACTGTAAGCAATTTTTTTCTTCTTAACTCAGAAAAATAATGACTCCTCACAGGGATCATGCAGGTTTAGTAGACTGCCTTGGTGCTATTTTGCCACCAGGCACATCTCTTGAAACAGCAGGGTTAAACTATTCACTTTCCTTGATGATCTCATTGTATTTCCATGCCAGATCAGTACTCTTCTTCTTCTCTAAACCGCAGGATTTATACCCACTCTTTATACAGTCCTGTAAAGGGAAAACTGTGATTCATGTGCCAAGATGATTCTCCCTCCCCATGCCAAATCATAATTTATCATGCCCACAAATCATAATATATCGTCCCCATTTTATATAGTTTAAAATAATGTTTGAAAACCTATTGCATCAAGGTAGGCCTAATTGTGTGAATGTGTGCATGTGCCTTTGAGTTGGTGTTAATTCTTGGCAACTGCCTGGATCAGATCCTGCAGTCTTCTTGGCAAGATTTTCAGAAGTGAAAATTTTCTATTTCCTCTTCCTAGGGCTGAGACTGAGTGACTGATCTGAAGCCACTAGCTGACTTTGTGCCTAAATGGGACAGTTCTGGTGCTCTATCTATCTATCTATCTATCTATCTATCTATCTATCTATCTATCTATCTATCTATCTATTCATTTATTCATTCATTCATATTGACTGCTCAACTCCAGTGGACTCTGGGCAGTATTGAAAACTACAGTATACGACACCAGACTGGCTAATATGTAGACCAGGTTAAATGACTCCTCTCATGAACTCACTAGATTGGATAAGATAAGCCTTCATTTCTCAGACTACCAGACTACAAATTGAGCTCTTCTAAGAAGTGCTTTGATTTCTCTTTAGGTATTGGGGGAATTACTCTACGTATGTGCATCTCCACAGCAATTCAGTTAAAAATTATGTCAAGGTATTATGGGTTTAGAATTACAAATATGATCGTCCATGGAAAGGAGGCTATAAACAGATACAATATCTATCTTGGATAGTATTTTCCTTGGTGTTTTGTCTCATTTACATGTACAGACATAGTTCCTTGCATTATATATATATATATATATATATATGTGTGTGTGTGTGTGTGTGTGTGTGTGTGTGTGTGTGTGTGTGTGTGTGTGTGTGTG